AGAGAGAGAGAGAGAGAGAGAGAGAGAGAGAGAGAGAGAGAGAGAGAGAGAGAGAGAGAGAGAGAGAGAGAGAGAGAGAGCAAAAACACCACGTGCAAGTAGTAATGACACTAAGGCTTGACACGGAACTCTCAATGTAAACTCGCGACAGACAAACTGAAGTACAACTCTTGAACAGGAGATTTAAGTGACAGCAAGACCCAGACAGAAGCTAGACTCGAAGAAGACCGCAACGCAAAACTTAATCCAGGACAACAACTGCCTATAGATGGGAAGGCCCCAAGGAGAGGGCACAAAAGAGGCCCCAAATGGGAAGGGCCACTACGAGAAAAAGACCGCCCCCAAATCCAAAGAGACCCAAAAGAGTACCCAATGAACAGAGCCCAAGTGGTAGACAGCAGAGATGGCACTGAAACTACGACAACAGCACATGCACACAAACAAGGCGTGGTCCCCAAAATTTGAAAACACGGCACAAGCAGCGACAAACATCAGACGCACGCGAACTCGACTACCTTGACCATGACACCGGAATTGGAAAATGGAATAGGAGACAAATCGAAGCCCGTAGGAGCGATCACCAAAAAACCATTGACGCAAGCGCTTTGTAACGCACAGAACAGCACCTAACTGCAGCTGCAACAAGAACCACAAAAGTAGGGGGGGCGGAGGGGGGGGGGGGGGGGGAGAAGAAGAAAACAGCTTAGGATCATGAAATCCCTGGTGCCACGGAGTCGCAGGTGTGGAAGTTGGGCCCAGAGTGGAGCACCCTAATATACAATGGATGCATTTAGTACAGGAAATCAGACCCCTTGCATCAGATAGCTTTCCTCTGAATGAGAATGGTTTGAACCTTGAAGGAAGTATAGTTACCACGAATGAGCGCCGCCCTTGGATCAGATGCCTTTTCCATCGAATGAAAATGGTTCTAACCATAAAGGACGTTTAGTTGCCACAGTGACTGAGTAATGAGCGCCGGAGGATGCGCATTCGAATAACCACAAGAGTGGCATGATCGACGTGTGGCAGTTCGAACCAGCTGTGTGCGTGTGAGTTAGGACCACCTCTGTGGGGTGTGAGTTGGAACCAGCTGTTTGTGCTGCGAGTGAGTTAGAAGCAGCGGTGTGTATGAGTCAGGACCACCTGTGCGAGTGAGTTAGAACCAGCTGTTTGTGCTGCGAGTGAGTTAGGACCAGCTGTGTGAGATGACGAATGGTCAAGTCTTCAAAGGACCAGACAAGGCAGAGGATTGGCCACTGAGAAGTGAGGAATGATGAAAAGACTGAGAAGTGGGGAATGGCTCCACTACTCACCACATGTGCAAAATGAGACTGCATCTACTCTTTTTGCCTCTTGTGCATGTGGTGAGTAGTGGAGCGAGGCCCAAGGGATTGTCAACCCACACAGGGGACCGTCCTCTTAAGTCATCAAAGCACCTACATACTCCTTAACTGAGTCAACAACACAAACTTCATGACCTAAAAGGATCTACCTAACATACACAACCTACCTTACCTACCAGCGGTCTCCCTTTCCATAGCACATGCACTACTTGTCACACACCTGAAAATCCTCA